AACTGCGAGTTGGAATGTACAGTCTTAACAGATTTGATAAATATGATGGTGCATTATCATTCAAACATTTGTGACATATGGTGGCCAACTTGTACACAATCCTTTTCTCAACAGGAAGCCAATCATTTGTTCGATCATTTCTCTTCTTCTTCTTCGTCTTCTCCCCCCCCCCCCAAACAATACACACACCAACACACCGCATTCTCTGTCTATCGTTTTGTCTATCTGACTGTCTTCAAGGCAAACGTTGAAGACCATTTCGCATTCATTGTTGGTTCACCAGGGAGCATTACGCATTCCTTGGATGGAAGCTCAATTATCGCTTGAGATGATCTACCCCTATCTGTGTTCTAAAACTCTCTTCATCATATCCAAGATCACTGTTATGCTGTTTGTTCTCTGCAAGTTATAGAGCTAATTAATTCAACTGTGTTGAAATTGAAAATGGAAAATTCACAAAGACCCCGGCCCACTTCGAAGTTTATTTCTTTGACAAAGAATCGAATAAACACACTAAATTAAAGTTGAACGATTACTTTGATGACTTTGAAGCATGAGCAGAAGACACAAATCAACAACAAAGAACTGCAAAGCCTTAATAAAGTGGTAGAAACAAGCATACCAGCCTGAACAATACCAACGGCAGAAACATGGAGAGGACGGCAGTAGCAACAACAACTGGGACAACCAAGGGAACAAAAAAGAACAAGAACATGAAGAACAACAACATGGGGGTATCCAATCTTCTACATATTTCCCAAAGTTTAAGTTGAATCTTTATCATGACCCCAAGCATTTGATGAAACATTACAATAACGTACGGCCACAGCAAAAAAACCCAAACCCAACAAAAAAAAACAACAATCCAAAAAACCCAAACCAGCTTCTGCAGGCAATAGGAATGCCTCCCCAATACAAGAAATAAAAACTGTCTGTACCTCTCATCCTACAATCTGTAGGGGTATTCTCTCAAAATAGAAATCTCCTTCTCAGACAAAATAGGTAACTGTCTGATACTCATTTCATAAAGATGCTCTGTACTTAAGCACTGGTTTATCTTGATCCTTGATAAGTGCGCAAGTCGTGATACAGACATTCGAAGCGGATGAACAAAGACAATATTGACCGGCTTGCGGTCAAATTTTCCCTGCATTGTCAAACTCTTCCCGTACAGCCTTTGCTCCGATGCATAGTAATCTACAAGGGCGACAACACTGTCGAACTTGCGTCCAGGCTCTGCACGTTCATCTTCTCCATCAAAACCAAAACAGCCTTGAGAATACGAAACGCGTACACTTGTCGCCCCCTGATCACTTTTCATACTCAAAGCATAAAGGAACTTCGGATGAGAACTGTTTCTTATCAGGAACGTCCCCAAGGGCGCCCTCTTCAAAAGCCTCATAGCACTTGCTTGCGTCATGAAGTCGTAGTAATAACCGCTCAGCCCAAGCTCGTAATTATTTCTCTCAAGAATGTGAAACTCTATCTCACTGTCCAAAACCACAGGGCCACAGGGTCCGCAGGAAGAAAAACCAGAGTCACCAACACATTCACTCACGTCGTTCTCACCGTTCTGCGCGATTTGCCTTGCTAGTGCCATAAAGCCATACTGCCGCTGGCCGTCTTTGAAAGTAAATAGCGAGCTCCCTTCTCGGCGTGACGGCGGGCAGTCTTCTTCAATAGTTTCTTTTATAGAGTTCTTCGACTTGTCTTCCTGCAGCTGGCACTTTTCTTTACCGATCGCTTCCAGACTGTCCCCCAAACCTATTGGGGCTGCAGAGAAGGTTGATTTCTTGTACACATCAAACAGAGAGTTCCCTTCTTTCAGAGGACGTGGGCTTCTCCAACGCACATTGGAGGAAGGTTCTGTGACGTGGTCCAATACCTCTCGCAAATGCCGTAAGAGCTCCCCTAGTCTCTCCTCCTCCTCCCGGCGGCTCAGGCCCAGAACGGCGGTGTGTGCTGGGAGTTGAAACTCCCATAGACAGAAGTCACAGGAGGCCGACAGATCAACAGTCATCGAACACTTTGCTCTGAGATAAAACCCAAACCTGTTATGAAAGAAAAAGAGGTCTTTAGTATTGAAATATTGGACACACAAAATCAGGGGCTCTGAAAACTTGTTAACTGCAAACAAACTTACATGCAAACATCTGAATACTGAGCCCGGGGGGGGGGGGGGGGGGGGGGGGGGGGGGGTTTTTTTCAGGCGCCCTTTAATCTTTTTTTTTTCGTTTGCACATTTCGTTTTCCACGAGCGTTTCGAATTTAAGAATTAAGTTGCCCACAGTCACGTTTTTCACAGCAGTAGCACCCATCTCAACAAACTTCAATTATTTCAAACAATCGCAAATTCCAGAAGACCGGAAAAAAAACGAGCATTTTTAAGAACAGGAAAAAATCCGTACGGGGAACAGCGACTGTGCTAAGCTAATACTTCATCTTGGTGGTATTAACAATGATAGTACATAACAAGATGGGCCACTTCTCTCTTTGAGCCAATTAAAAAAGTGTCCTCAAAATTTGGTGGCGCCCTCTTCACAAAAGCGCACTCTTTGCGAACAGAGTTACCCTACTTGAGTTTTTAAAAATCAAAGTGAAACTAGCAAGTTTTGGAATAAATTTCGGAAGAACGCTTTTTTAAAATGGTTACGCTGACAAAAAACCTCTACCGGAGGAAAGTGTAATGGTTTTCTTCGTTTAATTTGACTTTAGAATGAAAGGCGAGAGGTCATTAAAAAAAACACAACAAAACTAAAACTCCGCACTGAACGTACCCGAACTGCTGATGAACAGCAGTCGATCTGCGCACGCAAGGAGGTGCTATTCCTATTCTTCTTCTGGAAAAACGAAAGAGAGCTTCAAAACAGACTGCAGCGCCATCTGAAGCAAAGAGCATACTTCCTGCGGACACTTTTTTGGCTGAGTGGCCCATCTTGTTATTCACTATCTTTGGTATTAATCAAGGTATCGATACTCAATGTTTCTGATGTGTTTTTGCAGCTTAAAGATTGACGTAGGCCTAAATATTTTTCCCCTCACTTTGTTTTCAGGCTTGTTATTTTCAGTCTTAGGACCGCGCTGATAGCATTTCGGAACAAGTTCTCAGTGCGCGCAACAATAATCGTATCAGAATCCCTCTGAAGTTTGCCGCAGGGAGGGGGGGGGGGTTAAAATTTTTAATGCTGCATGAAAAAAAAATCGCAGCTAAAATTTGACTTCATTTTCGGAATCAGCGTATCAATACAATGAGCAAAGTGACTCACGGAGAACCTGGTTTGATGAGATTAAACTTTAGCAAACTGCTTTTAAATCGTAAATTGTGAACCAACAGTCGTATATTAAAGTAACCCAGTATGCTGTGCATCTGACGCCAGAACTTTTATACACTGCACAGAGTTAGGCTAGGTGAGCATAGGGCAATTTTAGTTGCTCAACAGTCGCTGTCTCCGGGTAACTTATATTTTATACACCGCGTGCACAAAGCTAAGCAACAGCCAGGCAACAGTAGGCTACCATCATTAGGCTACTGACTTCCTCATTTGACGCCATGGACTTCCACGACACAATTGTTGTCTGTGCTCATGTGATTGCACTTAGAAAGAAGAATAGGAAGAAGCGGTTTTGGGTTCACCCTTTGACCAGTCAGAGGGTTTTATTTTTAAAAGGGCATTTTGTCAAACTGCAAACACATTTGAGAGCATACTCTCGAGTTTTAGAGCATACTCTCAAGTTTTTTAAACTACGTATTATCGTGTGAGCTCAGACAGTTTTAATGAACTTTTACGTCCCGTGGGACCCTCAATTACGTCGAAATACCAACTGGGGGAGCAGCATTTCAGCAGAGGAAAGACAGTTTGGTTGCCTGCGCGCGGTGTGTGTCAGTTTAGTATGTAACACAGGAGAGACTTGAGCAACAGTTGCGTTGCCGGAAGGTTGTGACGAAACACAAACTTTTCAGTCTTCAAAAACCCGAGTTGCCTCTGCGCGAGGTGCTTTTCTATTTCATTGTTTACATTTGGGCGAGAAAACAGTTGCGCAACTAAAGTTGCCCTGTGCGCGCCCAGCCTTATTGAGTTCTATTAAAGCATGTTTGTGTAAACTCTAATTATAATATTTTTCCCAAAAAATTGAGGCAAGGTTAAAAAAACAAAAAAACCTTTTCTTCATAAACGTATACGGTAATATTTTTTGTAAAACTACAAATCTTCGTCACGCGATAAAATGAGAATGTTCACAGCACTTGCCCCTTCTCACACACATTTTACATAATACATCAGGTTTTGATGGCAAAACATTTGCCCATGCATACATGTTATCTCTTGATAGAGGATATAGAGTGAAATTGTAAAAGGCATTGCTGCTTCTACTACATGTATATTATCATAATTCGTCTGATGAGGAGCAGCTTGACAGTGATGAAGAATAGTAGGTATTGTGACAGGAAGGTGCCCTGGGCAGATTCCGTCATTCTTAATTTTACTGGTGCGGTTCCGACTCTTCAAACAATCTTCACAGATGATTTTCTAGATTAGTCTAAATCTATTTCTAGAATATAATAGAATAGATCTAGATCTAGATTAGATCTAGTAGATTCAGATTCCATTCTAGATCTTGATCTTTATCTAGATCTAGACTCTACATGATCTTAAAAAATTATTCTGATTGGCGGTTCGAAGTCCTTTTCCGCGTTGCTGGAACTGACCGCGATGGGTGCAGTCGTAAGTAACAGACGAAAACTGAAACTGATCATCTGGATATCGTCTCAGCCCACCTTTCAACCTCTTATTTTCAGCAGCACATGTAGTAGATGATCTTTCGATCATCGGCTGGAATGTGCTGCTGAAAAAAGAGGTTGCCGCAACAAAAAATTCTTCCCAATTAGGGAACGTGTTCCCTTCGCTTAACGTCACCATATTATCGAAAATGCCGCTAAGGCCCGCTAACCGCTAGTTGACCACTGAACGCAAGCGCAGTGAACCACAACTTCTCTGTACACAGAAGGTGACGAGTAGGGGTACAGGAATTACCATGTACACTTACCCACTTCGAAAAAAACAACCCAGTAAGGGCTACACAATACTTTAATCCAACACTAATCTTCTGGTATGGTGTGGGACGGCTTTAATATTGCTACAAACAAATTTCGGTCACAAAAATCCACAAACAACACGTGTTTTAAGGAATGCATTGTTAGAGATTCGAACCTGGGTCCTCTGCACTGCAGTTTCGCATCATGCAGGTAATATACGTCCCCTCGTTGCCACTAATCTTTAGTTATAAAATATTTTTAAATACCAAAAAATTGGCATTTAATATATATACACACATACGTTATATACCGGTATATTTCTATGCAGACACAAATTCGTCAACCTATTCAGATGTCACTGTAATGGACTATTTTTAGGGACTATAACTGATGCATGGTATATCTGTCTCCACCACTCCCCTCCTATCCCCCCCCCCAAACCATTGATAAAAAAGGGGGGGGGAAGGGGCGCAAGGGAGATGGGACGAAGTTGGGGTTGTGCATGAAGAAATGT